GAGTCATGAGAAAGAGGAAGTGAAAACTGCATAAAAACTATGCATAAAATATTTGTCCTGTTTATAATTTATTCGCTGCAGCAATAATTCTATATCCAAAGGGATCTTTATGAAGCCTGGAGATAGCGTAGATGAAAGGGATGGATGTGTCGTCATCGGTAGCGTGAAGCTGAAAATTGTCTAGAATTTTACGGTGATCGAGGACCAATTGTTAGACGGAGAACGGTACCGGCTTGTAGACACTATTTCCTTGGATGTGGTTAAGGCTGTTGAAAATGAGCTCACCGCAGTGCAACAAACTTCTTGCATATGACTGTGTAACTTCTTGCATATGACTATTTATTTGTTTGTTAGCTTTGTCAACAGACGTTATGACAAATTGTCTTTGTGTCTCACCTAAGGCTCTTTCAAAATCAATATTGACTTGAGGAGAAGGATAACAGCGGTTAGCGGTTCGCCGCCGTGCTACAGCTAATATCTTATGTTTGAAGTTGTCGTATTCAGGAATCGTGGTGCCAGAACGACTTGCTATAACGGGGATGAAAGTGTCTAAAGCGTTAGCAGTTTTATTAATAGTAGGTCTGAATTTGGTACCGTTCTTCATCACTTCCCTTAGTTGCCAGTTGCCGATAATGTCTAAGTTACCTGTTACAGTGTGTCCGGCAGGTTCGTAGAGAAAAGCCGAGCGTGCACATTGGCGAGGTGAAGACAATAAGTTAACAAGGTCCGTTGGTCTATCACTGAGACGTCTAAGAAAGATGGCATAGGTTCACAATGCGGCAGCTTATAGGATTTTAATATTTCAAACTGACAGTGATACGAGGGAAAGGATGTGTTGGAAATAAAAGTTTTGCTGTAGTGTCAAATGGAGCGTAACCTGAGATCAACGAAAGCGTTTCCCGGATAAGAAGTAGTGAAATAGAAAGTGTCGTCACGATGTCTACGCACGGAGGAGGCTTTCAGACGGAAAAGTAAAAAACCTTGCAAAATACAGGCGTTTGCAAAAGGCAGGGCTTCAGTAGCAGCACGTTGCAAATGCATCCTAAGAGTGCTGTTGTAGAGCTTTAGAGTTTATTAAGTAGAAGTCGAGTAGTCTGAGAAGTATCAATGTTGCAAATGCGAAATTAACAGCTTCCCCGTGTCTTCGGCGCTTTCGAGGTAACAGTGCTTAGAAGTATGGACTTTCGCCCATAATGAATGGAAGTAATCCTTCGGATATGTTGCCGTAAGCCATGATGTTGTCGTTAAGCCCGAAAGGATAAGCTGTATTAAGTGTCTGTATCCAGAAATTCTCCCGTTGCTGTAAGCTACGAGTAGAACTGTCAATACATTCGGCAATTTCTATGCCCATGGCGTCCGGTCCATGCCCTGGCAACTGGTAGCGTTCGTAGAGGACTGTGTTTGTTTTACGGACAACTGTACTCCCTTGCTCGAGTTTGTAAAGTTCGTTTGGTTTGTCCTACATATTGTGCGCCGCATACCCTGCACTTAATTGCGTAAATTATATTTGCTTTTTTGCAACTAAGCAAATCATCGGGATTGCACAGGGGGACGAAACGGGATCCGGTGATGGAGGTTTGCAGCAATCCGTTAGAAAGAATCACACGGCAGCATACACAGTTGCCACTGCAGACGTGTATGTAGTAGCGAATGTTATTGTTGGTTTCGGTAATTCTAGAAATGCGACCATGTATATCAATGCGAAAAAATGCTTTAAGCTATAACCACTTGAAATAACTCCTCAAGTTTTCGAATCCATTTTGTTTTCGCTGTTATTGCACTTGCAAAAGTCTGAACTGACCTCCTGGTCAGGATATAGGAAGATATTTCTGTAGGATTCGGAAAAGTTGCTTTTCGAAAGTTGAGAGCAACTTTGAAACAACCTGATAGCACTACACTGTTCTCTCCGCCTTCCCTCACCTCCTCCCCGACCCCGTCCTCTGCCTCCATCTCTGGCTGGTGCCTTTGATGAAGTTACAAATAAGCATTGCGTTGGGGAGTGGTTACCATGGGAAAGTTAGTGACCCCACAGGCGACCCCTGGTAGCACACATAGAATGGGCGGCAAGTATTAACTTAGGGAGTGCAGCCCAGGACCAAAAGGTTCGGGATAGCTGCGCTCGGCGTATAGGAATATCCTAGTAATATCACATAACAGAGGATACTCACACTGATAGCCCGAGCAGCCTTCTTGTTATAAAATAAGCACTTTTTGTAATTTCAAGCAACATGTTTTTTAACGCGTTTTTTGCATCGATGCAATGCAAAAACGCATATTGTCGAGGGGCTGTCTATGTGTGTATTTTTGTGTGTTTGTATTCGTCTGTACGATTTTTCATCTCGCGAGCTGTAAAAGCAACAGGGCTGAAACTTTAGGAACTTAATCTGCATGTAAGTACGGGCCCCTTTTCCCAAAATGGGCACTCTTATCCTCGTGGTACCCACATTCGAGCCCGCCAAAGTTTTTGGCAGGCAAGCTGCTAACTCGGGGACGTTTTATGGCAGCCCTTGCGGCCAGTCTCAGTTCCCTAGCTAGAAGCATCTGTCGAAAAAACCGATGCCGTTAGCAACAAAAACCTGCAAGGAGCTATACAAAAAGCGCATCTTCATACCGGCAGTCAGTGGTCGGCCAATTTTTTCC